CGTTTTCCGTGTCCGCGCGGGAATTCCGCGAATTTCCGCTTTCCAAGTGAATTGAAGGCGGATTCCCTTTCAGCGACATCAATTCAACTTCTCGATGGCTGATGCCTCAATCAGTGATGGCTGATGTCTCGATCAGTGATGGCTGATGTCTCGATCAATGTCTCTGTATGAATGGGAAGCCATGCGAAATTTCATGCGCAAACTCGGCGAGGTAACTTTTTTCTCTGAGAGATATCCGTGCGATATCGCCGCACCTACTTCCACTTTTTTTTTGCAACTTCTACTCGATATTTTGGAGCTTAACGATCCGGACTTGCTCAGATTGATATGAATGAATTCTAAGCAGAAACTTTGACTAGTTTCAAATTTTTCAGTCCTCCGATTCCATTTTCTGAACCTCCTCGTTTAAATTTTTTTTTCGCAGAATTCTTGGATCGAGTCGAACAATTTTACGAATTTTAAAAGATGAAAGTCCCGACTTTCGACGAAGCAAAAGGGCTGCGCCCGAGCAGTCGCAGTTGAAAAACGTATCAAATTGCATGCAAATTGCAGAAGGCAATTTGCATGCGAGCCAGAATTACCTCCCCATCTCAACGTTAATAGAACGAAACGCGAAAAGGAGGAAAAGGAATTGAGGCCTCCAAGAGCGTTCCATTGCTTTTTATTTTTACATTCCGAGTGTTCGCCGTACGAGGAAACATTTTGGACAAACTCAAAGGGGTCGGTCGAAATGTTCCCGCAAAAATTGTCTCTTGTGCAATATTGCGGGATCGACGAACAATTTGTAAACTTTTTAAAAATATTCTTTCAAATTTCGAAATAATCCATTTCTGCTCGCGATTCCGACTCATCGGTGTCTCTTGTTACATGGCGCGAGCAGCCGGTGAACATCCAGTGGGATCCGCCGGGGCTGCACCGGATGATCCTGACGGGATTGGGTGACGAGCGAACGGAGGAGAGCGAGGACATGAATCACACGGAGTCCAACGTGGCGGCGTGGATGCTGGGGACCCTCATGGTGGTGCTGGTCTCGCTCTCCATCTTCTTCATCTACAGAAAGAGGCAGCGGAGGGAGGAAGTGGCGAGGGGGGGCAGGGGGGCGAAGAGGGCGAAGGTGCCGGAGGAAGGATGGGACGACGAGGACGGGGAGCACGCGATCTACACCGGGCCCCCTCCCGACCTGAAGAAGCCGCAGCTGGACCATCCCTTCAAGAAGAGTCAGTACTCGCCGCTGCCGAGGGAGCCGCCGCAACTCACCGATGAGACGTCGCTGAACGGGGGGGATAGCGAGAAACGTCAGTTTCCTCATTTCTTTTCATTTCTTTTTGGATCTGTTTGCAAATCCTGCAGGTTTTCCGTTACGGATTAATGCATCGAATGCATTTTTAAAATTTATATTTACTTTTGCTTTCTCTTTCTCTGGGCTCAGTCGTTTGCATTTTATTTTTTTTTTTTCTTTACTTTCTGCCTTTGATGTTCGACTCACTTCCTTGCCTTCAAATATGCAAAGCCTGTATTAAAAATTCAAGCATTTATGGCATTCGTTTCAGCGTCGGTAACCGGAAAGGGAAGCCAGTCGGAACTGGAGTGGGACAACCAGGAACTCAATGCACCTGTGAGCCATCATTCTCTCGTTCGCGCCGTCATTCTCTCACCCGCACCTCCACATTCCGAATTCCCCATGCGAATCGCTCGTACTCCGCAGGGAAATTTGGTGACACGGGACGAAGACTCCGAGGACGACGAGGTGTTCGAAGGCGACAACAGGGGCACCCTCAGGATGGACGAAATGCAGAGCAGAAGACAGTTCGAAGACTGAACCCACTGTCACGTAATTTTTGTCTCAACTTGATGTAATAAAACATGTAATATTAGAAGAAAAGTCTGATTTTTCGGTAAACGCCTGAGTGGTCCAAGATCATCTTGGGCCTGTTTAATGGAATTTACGAGTACTACAGTTACAAGTTACAAGTACTTGCTTGCAAGGGTCGTGTTTCCTTGTTTAATTCTTCCAGCTGGTCTTGCTTGGCCTTCCCCCGACTACAACACAACCCTTGTAATTACTTGTAACTTGCAACATGTAGAACTTGTAAATTCCATAAAACAGGCCCCAGGTATTACTAAATATCTACGGAGCACAACTCTGAGAGATGCTACCAGTGGCATTTCATTAGTAGCTAACTCAAATGAAACGACGAACCTGCTGGAGGGGGGAGCCTCAATTGAAAATGCACTTCTCGGACTGTTTGTTTTCCGTCCACGCATGTAAACGATAGTTACGAGGGCTACAGCCACTCCCGACTCCACCCACCGACCCTTCCTTCCCTTCTTCCGCCCACCACGTCACTGAAACCTTCTCTGAAAGGTCAAGGGCCGAGATCGGCGCTGTAGAATAATGCTTAAAATAGCCAGTCCTCTAGCGTGTGTCTACCGCCAGGAACTCGAAATACGATCATAGATCTTGAAACCGATCTGAGCTTGACTGGCATGCCAGAGCGAGGACACATTCACGGACTTGTACCTGAAACCCTGTCGTGTCGTGCAATACCGTGTTGCATCGAAGACGCCCTCGGATCACGATTGGTTCCTTGCACGAGCATTCTGTAGGTGTCGTTCCATGCGCTTTCGCAAGCGGCCTGGTCTTGCAGGGAAGATGCATGCGGAGCAGAAGACGTTTTGGTAGAAGTCCATCAGTTTTATCGTTTCGTGTGATCCCCATATTCTCGGCAAACCATAAAGATAGTACGTTTGGCTTTCCCGAAAGCGAAACTCACTGACAAGAGGGAGTCCTCGGCTTTCCATACGGGAAACGTGCAAGCATGGAAGTGTTAGGCCTACGCAAGTCGGTTGTGCACGTCTGCATTCGCAAGTTCCTGCATCTCGGTGAGTTTTGTCACGATTTACTGATTTTCCGCATGAGTTCCGCATTTTTCGTCAGTCACGGCCAACAGAGCTCACAAAAAATACGTTAGGTGTAGGCCTAGGCCCAATATAGGCCTCTTCAAGCGTGGCATAATGGGAACGACAGTTTTTTTTGCACTTAACGTGGGAACGAGTTCTGCACGTGGCAAGAAGTTCCTTTATTAATCTTCTCTCTTTGACTCCTTTTCTTGTCTCACGATGATCGAGAATAAATAGTTGGAAATATGACCAAAAAAAATGGGAAGGCTTCTCTCAATTAAGATAAATCGACTTGAATTCTTTATTATGTCTTAGTTATGGTTAACATCTCGTGAAGTTTGAAGCAGTATGAGGGAAAAGGAGACGAAGACACGTTCGAACTGGAACTTCCTCCGCAATGCGCACGGCCCTTGCCGCAATGCGGACAGCTTTTGCCGCAATGCGCACGGCGCTGACCTCCACTCGCACCTGCCGGGTCTCGCGCGGGTGCTTTTTTTTTCCCAATAACATCTTTGACGTGAGATTTTTTAGGATCGCTTTTCAACAATCGATCAATTATTGGTATATATTGAAAAATCCTCGATGACGATCCTCAAAATGCCAACTGCTTGCTTTTCCTCCATCATACGTCATGAGATATTTCGATGATATAAAGTAGCAGAACGAAATGGTCGCACAGGAGTGAACATGCTGCGGTTCAAGTAGTTGAGATAAGAATAATTATATTTCCCGGTATTTTATGAGGCATTCTACATCAGCCGAAGAATATCTACCGATACGTTGAAATGTGGCCGACATCTCGATTGTGGTAAAGGCTACTATAAAGTGATAAAGGCTATCATACTTTTCATTCTCACTCTGGGCGCGTCCAGCAGATCTCTGTCGTTGCAGACGGAGTACCAAACAGTACCGAAGGAAATGAGAGTACTGGTCATTTTGCCGAATGTGTTCGGCCACAGTCGACAATATCCTTGCATACGACTTCAGCTGCCGAACGTGACACGTCTCTGGGGATCGAGCGATCCCAGCTTCTCACAGTCGTCCTCACACTCTCGCATGGGGGTAGATGATGACGTCACCGATTTCGTATAACATACACCATGGCCAATATGAGCACGGAAGAAAATAATGAATTTATTCCGTTCTGGACAGAAACGTTCCTTTGCGGAAGGCAGGCGACGAGTAGGACTCAGCTCGGACCCTCGAAGAACATGAACTCCTGCAGACAGCGATTTCTCGTTTCACTCTCGCCTTTCGAAACATCCACCGAAAGAGAGAGATGGACTCACGATGAGGAAGGTGGCTGCCAGGACGATGGCCTTCACGTGGACGTCCAAGTCCATGGGGAAGGCCACGCCGAAGTTGTCCGCGTCGGTGAAGATCTCCTTCACGAGTCCCGACCACTGCTTGCTGATGATTCCGATCGTTCTCCCGTCCGTGGCCTTCACCTGTGGGGGGTGCGTGGGGGGTGACGTTATCGTGTGACGTGATCCTGTGACGTCATATCGCTACACGCGTTGGGCCGGTTTCGCTGTATGTAACTGCGGGTAATAGCGTGTCTGTGGGTGTGCGATGCGGGCGGAGAAAAAGTGGCATCGGATCCGTATCAATTTCTCTTTATGGGAGATGAGCCTTCATATCGTTTAGCTGAGGAATATCGTGAAGGTATATTATCTCTCGGAAGCATCAAGAACTGAGAAGCTGGGTGCTTCGAAATCTTGGTGAAAATATGAAAATGGGATCCATGGCTGGTCCTCGATGAAAAACGTAATGAACTCAGCTATTTTCCAGATTATTATTATTATTTTATTTTTTTTTTATTTGGGAGTGGGGGTGGGGAATCAAATGAAAATGAGTCGAATTGTATGTTCAGAATGAAGTTATTGCCCAGTTGCCTATCGATTGACTGCTCTTAAGATGAATTGTCCCTTGGAAAATTTTCTTTTAAAGGGCACCGCTGGAAAGTGGAAGAAGTTCCTTTAAAAGCTCAATAAATTACTTTTTTGCCGCTGACGAACAGAATGCTCTTTCAATAGAATGAAGAGATGTGCAACATTTGGCCTCTTTCCAGGTCGCTACTGAGAGGCAGGCAGTTGGCCGGATTTGCAAGAAGAATTTAAATGAGTTTCCGGGGTATGTCATGGGAATGCTTCTAAGGGGAATAAGAATGGATCGTCACGTAGAAAATTCAGGAGTTCTATTGGAGACCACCGAAAGTGCCTTTCGCCTGCAAGTATAAAGTGTTGTGGGGCTCTCATTCGAGGGGAAGGATACGGACTATCCGTATCCTTCCCCTCGTATCCGTAGTTTATGGCTACTACATGCAGATAGCAAAATATGTCGATGACGTCACGCATCGATGCGGACGTCGATTCTCATCGCAGTCAAGCCATCTCGACTTGCCGACTCGAGGACCAGCGAGGACCGAGAGTCCCCACGGACCTAAGGGCCCTCAAGATCCGAGGGGCCCTCGAGGTCCGAGGGGAGAACTCTAACCTTGAACTTGACGTCCCCGCAGATGCTCCAAGTGACAAGTGGACCCGAGATGGTAGCGATGCGGTTCCCGGCCGCGTCCTTCACCAGGAACTGGGGGGTGAGGAGGCTGAACACTTGCTCCACCTTGCCGATCAGCGCACCCGGCGGGGCGTATATCTCCAGCTCCTGAAATTTGTTGTTGTTTACTGAGCGTGTTGGCGATGCGACTCTTCGAGAAAGAAAAAGAGGAACGTCTATGGCAGGGCTTCTCGACCTTTTTCACGCACGACCCTAAAAATCACGATCATACCGTTTAGGACCCCAAGCATTGGACGAAATTCAACAGGTTTACCCACCCGTGCGCTGAAGTTGCAAAGAAAAATAAATATAAATTGGCATTTAGTTGCCGGTTTGCGACCCCAATTGAGATCGCGACCCCTAGGTTGGGAAGCCCGATCGAGAGAATTCCTTCGTAAAAGTCTGTGGCGTATTCTAAGCAGAGCGTTCTTCATCCGGCCCGATGAGAAAGCAGCAATTAAGAAAGAGACTGAATCGGGAGCGAGGGAACCTGAAGACAGCAGAAGCACCAGCAGCAGTCGCACTTGAGCGGCCGATAAAGGTACATCACCTCCGTCCACCGATTATCGAGGATCTTCATCCCGAACGGCCGATTCGCCCCGCAGCAATTCCGATTCCAGCAGTTCGACTCCTCCACCGCCACGTACACCAACTGCCCCAGGCTGTTCTTCACCGAGTATTTATTGGCCGTCTCGAAACCCGTGAAGGCTGAAAGAGACGAGAGAGACGTTCCACGCCCGTTCCCCCCTCCCCCCCCACCCAACCAGAGACCATACCTTCCACGAGTTCCACCTTCTGCTGGATGATCACGTGATCGACCACGGAGAGATACTCGAGGCCGGGGGGACACGTCAGCCGGTGAGCCGGCTGCGGGATCCAGATCCCATCCGCGTTCCTCTGCGTTTCTACCCCCGCTGGAAAAGAACCAGTCAGGCTCGAACAGCAAGAACCAGTCGGACGAGACTCGGTCGCGGAAAGAACCCGTCGACTCGACGACCCAAGTCAAGCCGACATCGCATCCTGACGGACCAACAGCGTAGCACCTCGACTCCTTCTTCGCAGAAAATTGAGAACTTCTTGCGAAATCATTTGAAAGCGTGATGTTTTACAGCACGCATCCGGAAGAATAGTGGAACGATCACTGTACTGATTTTAAAACGAATACTGTGTATAAAAAATTCTGAGAAAATCACCCTTGGATACTGGAATGAATTTTCTGGCGACTCGAAAAATGCTGGATTCGACGAAACGATAGAGACCTGCGCGGCTACTTAGAGGTGTGTTAAGGGAGCGCAGTACCCTTTGATTTAGGCTGGCTGAAAGAAAACGCTCTCGGATTCCTAAACCCTTAGTCCCATACATATGAACCTTATATCATTGTCATCCACTCATTGATCTGCTTCTAATGATGGTACTTATAAGTACAGCACTAAGTACTAACTAGTACTTCATCTCAGTTTCTCAAAAACGGCAAGATCGATTCCAAAATCCCAAGGTTATGCCACGGAGAATGTCGCTACTGTTACATATTTGCAAGCGAATGTTAAAAAATTTGGCGCGTTTTCATGATGTTCGAGCCAAAAGTTGGCGCCATAGAAGTCCATTATAATGGTTTGCTTGCGCCTCCAAAAAATAGATGGCAGACCGGTCTCACGCACACGAAAGAGGGGCAGCATGAAGAGAGCTCCAACTTCCTCGACCCTTATTGGCCGATTTTCCAGAATTTCTTTAACCTAAGGGGACGTCCCCCTGAGAAAGGTTCAGAGGCCTCCCTTTCACCCCTTTCCCTCTTAAAAAAAAGGGGAGGCTACATAGTTATGAGATATGGACCCATTTGCGTGGATGTCTTACAACTCCTACATACGTAAGATGACCGCAGAAGATAATAACAATTCATTATGTCCTTTTTCGGGGAGTTATGTTTATTCGGCTTCACGATAGACACAAAGGCAAATCTTGGCAGTGAAGAAAATGGCTTATACAAGAGGCACCCCAGAAGTTCTAGCTAAATTGCATTAAATATCCCTGGATCCTAATGAAATATGTTTGAATTATTTTCCTGGGATTCAATAAGATTCAGTGATTTTTTGAAAAATTGTTACCAACATGGCGACTCGTAGCGTAAGTCCAAAATAGGTCACCCCCCAGGACATATGACTCTGACCCAGAGTGATCTGAGAGTGCTGATTTGGAATGGTTTCTGAAGGTGGCTACCTGTGAAACACTGTTTTGAAGAGATTAAGTCATCCCAGCGCGGTCTTGCCACCAACCACACACATTTTGAAAATTCTTTATTGAATTTCTGCAGCATTTTTTGCAGAAATTTACTCGAACCATTTTTGGCACCCAGTTAGTGGAAGGGGAATCCAACTTGAACAAAATGTATGCACCCCAAAATATTTTTTATGAAATTTTTTTCCAATGCCGCCGCTCCAGTCCAAAGGGTCTCTTCTGTGACAGCATGTCACTTTTCGATCTTCTTCATTCATGACCTTCACTTCAACCACATTTGTCTCGTCACTTTCTGAAATTGGACGACCTTCACGAGGCCCGTTCTCCAGACTAAAATGTCCACACCAGAACTTGTGAAACCAGTCATCCACAGGTCACATAGAAGGGGCTAGACCGCCCAGTTATAAAATCATCTCTGCAAGACACTGTTTAGCAGTTAGCGCCTTTGAAACCATGGTAAATCAGCACTTGCTGATTTCCGTTGACGACAGTGGGTGGTGACCTTTTTTTGACCTTATGCTACGAACATTTTATTTTTGTCACACCATTTTGATATAGAAAAAAAAATCATTGAAAAAAATCACTTAATCTTCTTGAATCCTGGAAGAACAACACCGAAAAAGTCATTAGGATAAGGAGACACATTTGGAATGAGATTTTGCAGCGCCCCTCTTACGTTCTGCTGTCTTTCTCGAATAATTTTCGAAGACCAGTTCCGAACCTTGACTCCAACTTAGATGTCAGGACGACAGAACCTAAAAACAGGCCCGATTGAGTTGAAGTACAAGGACTGGACTGATAGAGGTCGTCAGAATGAGACAATTGATAATTTCAGGTCTACATTTTTTGGCGCACACGTTGGGGGACATGAAGAAGAATTTCACGCCCTAGTGACAAGAAAAGTATTCTTATTTATTTATTTTAATTCCTCCATAATTTCCGCATGAAATCCTCGCGCTTGGAGGCACTTGAGGTGAGAAAGGCGTCCGTGTAGAAAGGTCTACCTCCTTTTCATCCCCTTGTCTCCCTTGATCACGTTGTCACATTTGAATTTAACAAGATATGGACATATGAAAACGTGTGCAAATATTCGAAGCATAATTGTGCATGCAGCTATGCCGCAGATACCCAGAGCCATCTTAAGTCAAGCCGGCAATTGATACTAAGAGAGTGTGGCCTACGGCTTTTGACTCATGGAAAAGAGCCGTTTTAGCTGTAATTAAGCTTTATTAATTTAAAAAATCTCAACAAGTTCATAATATGGACAAAACAAAGTCCATATTAAGACCAGTTTGCAGTATCTGAAATATGGCTGGAAATATGGATCTGAAATATGGATCGAACATGGCGCCTAATTAAAAAAAGCTCAACAAGTTCATAATATGGACAAAACAAAGTCCATATTAAGACCAGTTTGCAGTATCTGAAATATGTACCATCGATCCTAATTATGAAAGGGTGGCAACCCTAATCATCGATGGCACTCGTGCAAAGCTTAGGCTCATATTGCTCAATAGCTGAACGACTTCGTCGACTAGCTTCGCCGTCTGGTACACTTCTACCAGAGCCACTTGATGCTCTTGGAACTCCGCGATTCATTCGCAAGAGTCGTCAGGCAACGTGTATCCCAACGTGTCCATCGCATTTGAGTGCTACTCACGACTCCTGTGAAAGTTGCATCTGCAGAAAGAAGCCTCTCCAAACCGAAACAGTTTATAACTTATCTAAAATGAAGCGTGCCACAAGAAAGCCTGACAGGACTAGCTATGCTCTCTATCGAGGGGGAGGTCAGCAGGTCATTGAATTACAAGAAAGTGATCGATGAACTGGTGGCATAGGCTCCGAGGATACGAACGCTAAATCTTTGGACAACCTACACAGATTCCTCTCCTTTCTTTGCTTAATGAAAGTGTAGTGATTTTCATTTTTTTCCTGATGTAACTTCGATAATCGAAAATGAAATAAGGGGCAAATCTCTAAATCTCCGGAACCAAGAGGTGGCCCGATGTATTTGCCGCAGGGGGCCCCGCATTTTCCCACGCCGGGCCCGGAGGACACAATCGAGTTACTCGCTGTAACTCGGCGAAGGAAAGCGATAATATTGAACATATCTTCAATTTTTGAGAAGCCTACCGTTTGAAAGTCAAGTTGACTCATGAAAAGTGTTCGGAATGGCCTCCATTTCTCCAAGAAGAGCGCCAAAGCAGCAGGGATAACCGGCGTAGCCAGGGTTTTGCCGAAGTCAGTGGTTCCCAGACTTCTTTGAATCGCGACCCATCGAAATCCTGAACGAGGTATTTTCAAAGTAATTATGACGAAGAATATTGATCGACCTTTGCTACAGGGCGTGTTTTATCCCGATCGGATGCGGAAGTAAATATTAATTTTTTTTACACGAATCCGCGTAGGACTCTCATTTAATCATAGTCACTATCATTAATCGACATTTTATCCGTTAATCGTAATCACTAGAATAAAATATGTTTGAATCAAAGGACTATGATCGTAATCAAATAATGCCACAGTAATCAACCGATGTGGGACCGTTGGAATGCGCAAGCCAACGATTCACTAACTGCAGTCTAAATCAACGGACAGCCGTTATTCACGATTTGCTATGTTGGGTGGAAACTGAGAAATATTTCATATATCTATTGAACAAGACATAAATAGGATATTCCCTGATGTAGATACCTTCCTCATTTTTGCCCTTTAACCATAATTGTTCTGTTAAAGCATGAATCCGTAATTCTGGTAAACCGTACCTCCTCTTATTTGTCTCTTGCTCCGATACGTGATAAAATTACCTTCCTAATTTAAACCAAAGATTCCTACTGAGCATGTGCCCTCTGATGCAGGGAATTTACGTCTCATCGCTTGTAAATGCGACCTACTTCACCGGAGAATATTTTATTGGAAGATAATGTATATATACCAGGGCCGTATCTAGGATTTCATTTCGGGGGGGGGGGGGGGTTTGAGGTCTGGCGTACGCGCTGTGGCTATTTTTTTATTATAAATTTGTCATTGTAAGTCTTTGTGACACATCAAATTTTCCTGTAAGTTGCAGTGTTTAATAAGTCATAAGCTATTAAAGATAGAAAAGACCAAGTACTGCACCATTTACATGGATGAATAGCAATATGGCAAAAATTTAAGGAAGATATTTCGGGGGGGGGGGGGGGG